GACAGCTTGTGCACTTACTCCCAGTGAGTGGTGCCAGGCTGGAAGCAATCGAGGCCCACGTTAGTCCATGCCCCCCCCTTCCCCAGGGCTGCCCGCCCCCTTTCCCCCCTCCCAGAGGGATGGGGAGGAGAATCGAAGGAATGCAACTCCCACGGGCTGAGATAAGAACAGTCTAGCAACTAATGTACAATACGAATCACCACCGCTACCACCAATGACAACAATGATAAGAGAAAATAGCAAAGGAAAGGAGTACAACACCATGCGCCGAACCACCAGTCCGACCCGGCCGACCCCCTGTCCTTCCGGGTACCTCCCAGTTCCCCCCTGGGCATGACGTGCTGTGGTATGGAATACCTCTTTGGTCAGTTTGGGTCAGGTGTCCTGTCTCTGCTTCCTCCTGGCTTCCCCTCCTCCCTGGCAGAGCATGAGGCTCACAAAGTCCTTGGCCAAACCAAAACATCATTTTTATCAGCTTTGTTCCCAGCCCGAAAGTCAAAACACAGCACTGCACCAGCTACCAAGAAGGAGAAAAATGACTGCTGCTGCTAAACCCAGGACAGACTTCAAACTTTTCCTTCAGAAACTGTAGTAGTTCTGTTGTTTCTTAAAATAAGGGAGCAGTTAGTTCTCCTGCTTTCTCATTGTACTTTTTTGTTTTCTCTGGCAAAGGTGTAGCTTGTGTTTCTTTGATTGTTTTTTGTTTGGTTTGGGGTTTTTTGTCTGTGTGGGGGTTTTGTGCAGGTTTATTTGTTTGTTTGGATTTGAGTTATTTTTTTCCTACGTGTTTAGATTATTTATTAGTCAGGTGAGTAAAACAAATAACCAACAACTTAATCTAGAGGTTTACAATTCAATAGCAGTTCTTTGGATGCAAGGATAATCTTGGAGTAGGTTGCAGATGCAGTTTGCATTCCGAGTTGGGCAATACAGTCTAACTGACAAGTGTTTCTCTTGAGAAAAAGTCAACAGAAGCTTGGTTTTGTCCCTTTACATTCTGCAGGTCAGTTTCCTATCTAAAATAGAAGGAAAACTTTCCTTGTGTAGTTTTTTCATGTATATTTCTATGTAGTAATATAGTATATTATAGTAGAGTAATACATAAATACTAATATATTTTTATATATGTCATATATAACATTGTTTTGAGTAGTATAAGTGGCTTCAGTATCAGCTGTTGATGACAACTGGTAACCTTTCCAAGTTAATATTCTGTTCTTTAGGAACAGTGATGGAATTTAAATTTAGACTGATGCTCTTGAGATAAAAGACCTAAGAATGTCCTGAAGAAGAGAAGAGCTCCTTTCATGCTTACTGTGTTGCATAACAAAAGCATTCTCTTTTGTCATCTTCATTGGGATTGTTCTCCTGTTTGCTCTTTCTTCTTTGCTTTCTCTTGCTCTAATGTCCCATCATTAAGATTATGTGGGCAAGTAGGTAAACATCAGTAGCAGGAGATGGTTGTAGCTCTATCCTAAAGAAGCAACTATTTACATCATGATTTAAAAACCTGAAGGCAGTCAGAAAAGGCTTTCTATACCAAATGTACTGTGGTATTTACCATAATACAGTTTTGATAGCAAAATATATAAATACGAAGAACACTTATTATTAATTAGGATATTGCTCTTCATGTGTGTTATGTCTTGGTTTTTGTGCTTAATGTCCTCATCAGTGGAGAGTTTCTCCTCAGTGGAGAGGTTTTGTTCTTCACACAATATTAATGTCTTAAACATGAGAGGCTGGAGATCCATGTTATACACTGCAAATACTGGAAGAGTTTAGTTACATGTGGTATAGGAGCTATGTTTCTTTTTTCTTTCTTTTTTTTTTTTTTTTCCCATGTGTAGGCTTTTCTAGATTATTTCCTTAACATAGTTTTTCACATTTAATCAGTCATGAAGTCTCCCAGCAGACTGGTCCATTCACACTCACTCAGCTCTGCATCAGCTCAGTTCTAACTTGGCAGGAAATGTCCTCATCACTATATTAGGAAGCTGCTGTCCTGGGTTCAACTGTAATTGCTATTTTTCTCCTTGATAGCTGGTGCAGGGCTGTGTTTTCAACTTTAGTCTGAGAATGGTGCTGATGGCACACCAATGTGGCTCATGAAAATTTTTTCGCTATCTCACTTTGTACTTCACTTGTGTTGTCTATTCCAGCAATGACATTTACTTGTATAAAATAGATTATAATACCTCCATGATTCCTATGGAAAGCTTAAGATATTCAGACATCATGTTGTTTTGGTTATGTAGGGAAATCTGAAATTTTTCCTTCCTCTAAAGATATTTGTTCTTATATTTCAGTTCTCAGCTGTATCTTCCACTAGGATGTTGGTTATATGACCACAATGAAAATACTTACATTCCTACAGACCTGGACACACTCCAGTGTCTTAGTGTTTTGGAAAGCTCGCATTCCTGTTTTATGAAAATAGAAATAGTGACCAATCTGTATTTTATATACAATAGCACACTCTAGTGTGTGTATATTAATTAGTCATTATGGACTGGTTCTTATCATATTTAACTTAAATTGCAGTATTTTAGTTCTGTTGTATTCAGTGATTCTATTTTTTCTTTATACTTTGGTTTATTAGAGGAAATATTTTTCTTCAAATGAGAAATTACCAGTTTCTTAACAGAATCATTTTGATACTTACTGTTATTATTTTTTTTTTAATGATGCTTTGAAAGAGCTGATAATTTTTGTAGCAAGGAAAATCTTGATGTAAGGGAAGAATTGAGTCCAATATAAAAAGCCTTAATGCTGTCATTATATACAGCAAATGTGTGTAAGATGGATTTGAAATTTGTCTTCTAATTGAGTTGCCTGCAGGGAATTACAATTTGCCTTTTTGCATTAGTACGGAAATGAATACATCACTTTCTAAGGTGTCAGCTCACACTTGTGGCTAATTCTGAAGATATCACAGCCTTAGAGAAGATAGGCAGCCAGCATCAACTCAGATAACTGGGTTCCATGTTAGGTACAGTACAAGACTCTTTGTCATAGAAACATTTGTACAGCTTTGTGTTAACTTACTATCTTATTAGCATGTTTGCAGCCAGCATCAACTCAGATAACTGGGTTCCATGTTAGGTACAGTACAAGACTCTTTGTCATAGAAACATTTGTACAGCTTTGTGTTAATTTACTATCTTATTAGCATGTTTTTCTGGACATTTTTTTTTTTTTAAACCAGGTTTATGAATAATAGTGCAAAATATAAAAAACAAATAATATCAGTTGACCCCAAAGTACGAGTGAGAGATTGAGTTGCTGATGAGGGTCCAGAGAAGGGCAATGAAGCTGGTAAAGGGCCCGGAGCACAAGTCTGATGAGGAACGGCTGAGGGAACTGGATTGTTAAGTCTGGAGAAGAGAAGGCTCGGGGGGACCTTATCGCTCTCTACAAGTACCTTAAGGAGGATGGAGCGAGGAGGTGCCTGGCCTCTTCTCCCAAGTAACAAATAATAGGACAAGAGGTAATGGCCCCAAGCTACATGAGGGGAGGCTTAGACTGAGTATCAGGAACAATTTCTTCACAGAGAGGGTAATCAGATATTGGAAAAGGCTGCCCAGGGAAGTGGTGGAATCACTGTCCCTGGAAGTGTTCAAAACCTGTGTGGATAAGGCCCTTAGTGACATGGTTTAGTGATAGTCTTGGCAGTCCTGGGTTAATGGTTGGACTTGATGATCTTAACAGGTCTTTCCAACCCAGTTGATTCTACTATTCTATCATTCTATGAATCTTGCAGGGCTTCACAAAAAAAAAAATCAGTTCTAATCAAGAACTCATATTTTGGCCAACGATATGAAGTTTTTATAGCTATCATTTCAACCTTTTTTCTAAGCCCTTTCAGGAGAAAGGAACTGAATGGCAGAGCAGAAACCACCAATCAAATATAGAGTTACAGACAGATTAATTTATTTTTAACGGTATTGCATGACCTTCCATAATTAAAGTGAACATGATTCGTTAGACACTAGGTTTTTCTTGTTCAAATATACAGATCTTGGAAAACATAGAATTGTATTAATTAATTTTTAACTTGAATGCCATCCAGAAAGCAATAAATATGTAGTGAAAGCTCTGTATGAGTTTTGCCCTGTAATCACTGCAAGCTAATGTTTGTGATAAATGTCCTTCTGCTTTCTGCAGCAGTTTTCCAAGGTGATTTAAAGCACCCATGACCTGTTGTACTAGTTTATCTAAGAACAAATCCCTGAAGCAAAGAGTGAGGAAGGAGGGAAAGTTTTTCATTGTCTTACTAACTGGGGATTTGAAAAAGTGGTGCTATTCATTAATAAGTCTGAAATGCTGATGAGAATCTAATGAGGTGTTCAAATTGCAGACTTACATAGTAAACCACAGGCAAGCAGTTTTAAGAAAAGTCAAATTATTAGAATGTTCCGGTCCATGTTATTTTTAGACAATACTGTGAATTAAATAAAAAGTAAACAGAGCTGTATTTGAAAAATGTATTCAGGATGTTTCATACAATAATACTTTCCTGGGACCCTTAAGGATAAAAAAATAAATCGAAAAGATTTAAAAGGAGCTATGTAATGAGTAGGAGAAGGGTGTGCTCTTCTGAGGAAAATGAGTCTGATGCTAGTAATTTTCAACATTTTTGTTAATATAGGCAGTAGAAAATGTTTACGAGGAGAGTGATTTGGAGCTCCTGCCATCCACAGGTACACCCAAGAAACCAGAAAAATCAGAGTAACAAAGAAAATTCAATAAAAAATAAAAAAGAAAAAGAAAAATGAAGACCATAGAATTATCTGGGCACTAATCAAGTAAAATAAAGGAATAAAACAAGTTTAATACTAGGGCCATCTTGAATTGAGCATATATGTAATATCTAAAGAGCCAAGAGCATTTCTTCATGGAAAATACAAAAAATTATGAAAATAATTGGTTTTTACTCTCCTTATTAAAGTTATGTCAGGTGCCTATGTTATATATAATCTTTCCATGTTTTTGTACAGGAGAAGCATAAGCAGGAGTTAGAAGACATGAGAAAAGCTGGACATGAAGCCTTGGGTGTTATTGTTGAAGAATTCAAGGTAAATCAGTTGCTGAGATTATGAAATTTCCAAATAATATCATTGTAATAGTTTATAATAATTAGGCACTACAGGCAGTCTTCTTTAGGATTTAAGACTGTGTTAAACTCCTGCATATCATTTATATGCAGAAGTGACTTCCATTTTCAATAGATTTTGTAAGTAGTGTCTACTTAATCCCCAAATTACCTCAAGTGTGGAAATTCACCTAAGCAATTCTACTGAATTGTTTAAAAGGCATAGAAAGGAGAATCTTTATTACAATTAATACAGTCCGATTTTGCAATCCTTGGGTTTTAATAAAATGAACTGAGGCAGACCACCCAAGTCTTGGAAGGCAGACTCAGGGACTGTGAGAATGAAGACCTTGGGCCCACTGTAGGAGAGGAACTGGTTCGAGACCATCTTAAAAATCTGAACGTGCCCAAGTCCATGGGTCCTGATGAAATCCATCTGCGGGTCCTGAGGGAGCTGGCGAATGAAGTTGCTAAGCCGCTGGCCATCATATTTGAAAAATCATGGCAGTCAGGTGAAGTTCCTGATGACTGGGAAAAGGGAAATATAACCCCCATTTTCAAGAAGGGGAAAATGGATGACCTGGGGAATTACAGACCAGTCAGTCTCACCTCTGTGCCTGGCAAAATCTTGGAGCAGATTCACCTGGAAGGCATGCTAAGACACATGAAAAACAAGGTGCTTGGTGACAGCCAGCATGACTTCACTAAGGGGAAATCCTGCCTGACCAATTTGGTGGCCTTGTATGATGGGGCTACAGAACTGATGGACAGCGGTAAAGCAGTTGATGTCATCTACCTAGACTTGTGCAAAGCGTTTGACACTGTCCCGCACAACATCCTTGTCTCTAAATTGGAGAGACATCAATTTGATAGGTGGACCACTCGGTGGATAAAGAACTGGCTGGATGGCTGCACACACAGAGTTGTGGTCAATGGCTCAATGTCCGGCTGGAGACCAGTAATGAGTGGTGTCCCTCAGGGATCGCTGTTGGGACCGGTCTTGTTTAACATCTTCGTCGCTGACATAGACAGTGGGATTGAGTGCTCCCTCAGCAAGTTTGCCGATGACACCAAGCTGTGTGGTTCGGTTGATACGCTGGAGGGAAGGAATGCCATCCAGAGGGACCTTGACACGCTTGTGAGGTGGGCTGATGCCAACCTCATGAAGTTTAACCATGACAAGGGCAAAGTCCTACACCTGGGTCGGAGCAATCCCAGACACAGCTACAGGCTGGGCAGAGAAGAAATTCAGAGCTCCCCTGTGGAGAAGGACTTGGGGGTGTTGGTCAATGAGAAAATGAACATGAGCCAGCAGTGTGCACTTGCAGCCCAGAAAGCCAACCGTATCCTGGGCTGAATCAAAAGAAGTGTGACCAACTGGTCGAAGGAGGTGATCCTGCCCCTTTATTCTGCTCTCGTGAGACCTCACTTGGAGTACTGTGTACAATTCTGGTGTCCTCAACATAAAAAGGACATGGAATTGTTGGCACAAGTCCAGAGGAGGGCCACGAGGATGATCAGGGGACTGGAGCACCTCCCATATGAAGACAGGCTGAGAAAGTTGGGGCTGTTCAGGCTGGAGAAGAGAAGGCTGAATGGAGACCTCATAGCAGCCTTCCAGTATCTGAAGGGGGCATACAGGGATGCTGGGGATGGACTCTTCATTAGGGACCGTAGTGGTAGGACAAGGGGTAATGGGTTAAAACTTAAACGGGAAGTTTAGATTGGATATAAGGAGGAAATTCTTTCCTGTTAGGGTGGTGAGGCACTGGAATAGGTTGCCCAGGGAGGTTGTGAATGCTCCATCCCTGGCAGTGTTCAAGGCCAGGTTGGACGAGGCCTTGGGTAATATGGTTTAGAGCGAGGTGTCCCTGCCCATGGCAGGGGGGATTGGAGCTTGATGATCTTAAGGCCCTTTCCAACCCTAACTATTCTATGATTTTGTGATTCTATGATTATTCCCATCAAATGGATTGGCCATGGCCCAAATTAGTATCTCTTGCAGTCATGACTGTTGGAATTGTGACTAATGCTCTCTGTTACCAGCCAATTTTAATTTAGTGATGCCACTCCAGGGAAAGTTGTACGTAGCATGACTGAATATAAAGCCTATCATTGGTTGTTTAACAACAGCTGTGTAAAAATACACAGCATTGATCATAAACCCCAGAAAATAATTCCCAGAATCCCTCAAGCCCCAAATCCTCTAAATTAGGTACTGTGATTCTGGGTTGAACAATCCTGGAAAAGATTTGACTACTTGCCTTTCTGTATTCCCAGAAAAGATGAGTCTTCCTACCTGTAGACTTGTGAAAGTGCCTTTCTTTTGGCACACAAAGGAAAAAGTTACCATTTTTTCAGTTCTATCTAAAAGCTTGCCAAATTCATAGCCAAGAGCTCACATTTTTCTTACATTCAGTGCTAATTATTACTCCTTGCAGACTTACTGCAGCAGATTATTTTTTTTTTTGTGTGCGTGTGTCTATGCTTAAAAAGAGTTATACTTTCTGATAATCACTGTCTGGTATTTGGGGGGAATTATCTGCTATAAAAGGGACACACTGATCTTCCATTAGTTATCCCTGGCAGACGAGGTACTGAAGTTTAAGACCAAACCCTCTCAATTCCTACCCTTGTTGTGGCATGTCTTTATTAACATGGCAACAGTGTCAAAAATGGAGTTTAGACAAGAAGTCAGATACTGAAGGATTTAATATCAAGGATCTGAATATACCAAAGCGCTTAGAATTATTACAGTTGTCTTTGGAATATTAGCTTGCCAAATGTGCTGGGAAATCCGTTAACTGAGACCATTACACATTTTGTAGCACAAGCCCTCAAAAACCTTAGCTGTTTTTAAGCATCTCACATTCTTATCTTTCTTTCAACAAATAAACCATCTACAACACAGTCACGAAATTTGCATTAAAAAACATGGTAAAGCAAATAAAAAATCAGCTTAGTGTTTGGTGTAGGCTAAGTTTCCCTTCTCATGTTTACTTAATTTGGTTTAATTTCTGTCTTTCATGTTGTTATTTTTTTAAACTTTTATCCCTGATAATTAAGTACAGTAAAGAAAAGTAAATGTAGAGCTTGGAAATTGTGCTTGTGGGATCATGTCATATTGGAAGATATTTACCACAAGCAACATAAGAATTTTTCCTCTGCTTGTTTAATCAAGCTTTTGTTCTGAATTTTTCGTAGTTCTGTAAACAGACAAGTTAAGATTTTCAATCTGTTTTTTTCTCACCATATAAAGTATCCTCTAATGTAACCTTAAAAGAATATGAGGTTACAAGCAGGTGTGTTTATCTGATGGTATTTATTTACTTAATTACTTTATGCAATTATTAGTCTTCTAAAAGACAGCTTGCATGAATCGGATGTGTTTCCTTTTATGGAAATTAACTTCAAGATGCAAAGTCCTTTCTTCGTACAGTGAGAGTTTGGTCTATCACTTTTCAGTGTTAGGTGGCTGGTTTTTTTCAGCTTTCCAAAATATAAAAAAATACATTTACAAAATACGAATATGTAGGAGCTTTCAGATTGTCTTTCAAAAATATTTGTGTCAATAGCAGACCTGTGAACTGAAAGGCTACCCTCTAATAAACAAAGCAAAATTTAAGAGATATCATTACAAAATAAGTTAGTCTAGAATCAGAGTATCTTTTTTTTAGACATAGTTTATCCCTGGTGAAGAGGAAAAGCTCGTGAAATGTGGTAAGTTCTCAGCTCTTTAAAACACCAGCTTAGGCTGTTAAGTCTCCAAGTTGTCATACCAACTCAGAAAGGTCTGACAGAGGAATAAAAGAATAAATTCAGAAGTTGTTGCAAGGGCTTATATTTCACTGCTGACTTCTGTACTTGTCCATGTGTGAGTTGCACAAGAATTCAAGCAGGCCTTGAGTATGATACAATATTGGGTTTCGTTATGAAGAGGTGATGGCTGGAAAGGGAGAGATTTCTTGTCATTTTTACAGTATTGGAGTACTTGTGCAACAATGATGCCACTATAAAAATCTTTATATGGAATTCTGATAAAATCAAGGTCTTTAATCAAGACAATCTTCTTAATCTTCTGAATCTTAATCTTCTGAAGATGTGGCTGTCAAAAATATTGTATTATTGATTAAAGCATCTTGATTTCTTAAAAGTTTTTGTAAAAATTACAAGATATTTTTCCATCCCATTTCGGTTAGGATTTCTTTTTATATGTGTTTTGCAGTATAAAACAGTAAGTATGGTGTGAAATATTGTAATAATTGAAAGGCTTGAAACATAAGTAATTTAAACTCACATGCCAATAAAACTGAGATATCTAGATAAACTGAGCATAGTGTTGGAACTGTAAGTTGTTCATCGTTACTGGTATACCAGAAGATGTTGAAAATTAAACTGAAGTTGTTATGCCACTTTGCAAAAAACACCTTGCCCTATTCTTGCATTGGATTCAAATGTATTTTATGTTATGTCTTTGAAACACTGGAATAAAATTCAGTTCACACTCTAAAGAGGACAGTTAGTGAAACCATAAAGTTCCTTCACGCCTTGATGCACATCAAAATGTATTGACCTTTTGTAAAGAATAACTTGAGAGAGTATTTTTCTACAGGAAATACTTTCTAACTCAGTATATAAAATATCACATCATGAGCTCTGTTTTAAGCTTTGGTCGCATGGTATGACTGTCAGTGGAAACAATTCAGGAAATTCAACACAACAAAAAAAAAATATATATTTCATAGCATGTGAATGCACATGTTTTAATTTTCTGGAGATTTACCTGTAAATAGCCCTATCGTGAAAATATGCAGTATCTTGGGTTAAAGTTGTTAAGTTGGATTCTGTTAAAAAAGATATTTTCAAAAATCTTTTAAACAGTTTTATTTGTCTAATATATGTACTAGCTAATAACTGAGTTATAACCAGTCAACTAGAATATTTTATTGAGGCGGTGTATCTTTTCCAAGGGTCAGGAAAGAG